TTTCGGTAATTTATTTTGGTGTGCTTCGAGCTAGAATCAAAACCAACAAAATAACAATTTGTGCAGCTGCTTGGTAACAAAGTTCCAAAGAAGACATGGACAATGATGGTTCAAAATGCTTTTGAGTGTCTGAGTTATCCCGATCCATCCTTGGAGGTTACACACTCTCTTTAAACTTTCATATCTGTACGTTGAAAAAGTGAGCTTTAATCTAAGTCGATGTTGTATGAAAACAGGTAAATTTTTCGACAAATAATGTCATGGGAGATCAAGCTTTCAACGAAAGTGTTGATACTTTTGGGCAAAACAATTTGGATAATTGGTATGAGAGCCCGGAAAACTACTTTTCAGAAAACTTTGGATATGGGCTTGCTGATGGTACGATGAATCAACATATTAAACATTTTTAAAGTATAGGATCGTTGTTAAATGCTTGTTAAAACTAATATGATTTGAATCACAGGTTTACCGCCATTGCTTCCTTGTGAAGCTCCAGCTTCATATGACCCAGCTACAGCCACAACTATGCAAGCACTCACACCCAATACGATCAAAGACATTTGACAAAGTGAGTATCCAAACTCAAACGATTCTTACGAATCACTATCTTTTACCGTTCTATGCAACAATAACTTAAGTTAGACTCTTTCCTTCAGATTTGATATAGACTTTACCTTATTCGACATATACCTCTGGTATGTGTAAAACATTTGGTAGGGATGGTTTGTTTTAATTAGTTGTCTGTTACTTATTTTCTCTCTGATTCAGACATTTGCATCCTTAAATTCTGACTATAATTCAGGCAATGATTTTGGTTCATTTATTTGTGGATATCTTTTTATTTATTTATTATTTTATTATTATTATAATAGCTTGTCTACAAGAATGAACGTTGCGTTTGTGTACAAAATTCTCATAAACTTTAAAAAAAATGTCAATAATGCCCTTTCAACTTTCAAAAAAAAGTATGAAAAAATACCATTAAACTTTGAAAAATTCAAGGGTATTTTTGAGAAAAGTACAACGTTCAGGGATATTTTAAAGCTAAATTAATAAAAATACCCTTAAACGTTGTTGCAGTTTGTCTAAAAAATTTCCATAAACTTTCAAAAGTTGCAATAATGCCCTTCAACTTTCAAAAAAGTCTAAAAAATATCATTAAATTTTCAAAGAAAGTTCAAAAATACCCTTACAGTTAGTTTTGGTTAGAGACCGTTCATACTTTATTTAAAAAATACTGTCAACTTTATTAAAAAAAAATACATTTTTAACTTTTAAGAGTGTTTCAAAAATACCTTCGAACTTTAACAAAAAAAAAAAAAAAACATTTACCGTTAATACCACATTTGAAAAATACTCATGAACTTTCCAAAATAACATTAAAACGTTTGCAGATAATTTATAAAGCATCCGTAGACAGTTTTTGTCCATATACTGATAGTACCATTTTTTTTATAATGGTACGATTTTTTAAAATAATAGATAATATAGTAATTATAAGGAAAATAGTATGGGTGGTTTTAAAATTTTAAAAAAGAGTTCTGAAATTAAATATTAAATATTTGGTCCAAGGATTTAGTTTTTATTAAATATAACAAAAAAAAAAAAACAAATAAACATGGGACTGTGTTCTGTCGAACCTTAAATATAATATTTCTTGTCTGTAAAATTAATTATAAATAATAATATTTTTAAATAAATTACTTTTTTATTTTCTCTCTTTTCCTATTTCGAAAAACTTTGGGGAGTTGTAAAAAATTATAATTTGAGGGATTAATTATATACTTTTAACTAAATTATGATTATGCTAATCACGTGACAATGTAATTGTCACTATTTCCAAGATAAATAGGGTTTGGTAGGGACTATTTATTTAATTAAAGTTAAAAATTGGATAAGTAGAGCTATTCAATAGTTAATTTGTACATACCTAATGAATATATATATATATACACGAAGCTCGGCCCAACCATGAAGACAGAAAACGGCCTAGACATACGAAGCCCAAGTCATGACCCGTGCAAACTCGAGAGCTCAACTCGACCCCACTCAACAACCTGTGCGCGCTCCAGCCCTTATTACGTGTGTGACGCGTGTTAACTATTCGACTCGTTTGGTTTGGTTTGACTTCGGCGCGACTCAAGGACTCCACGACTCAAAATTGGCGTATTCGGCTCAAGACTCGAATTTGGACATCGTTCCCTACGCTTTGGACCCTCTCAAAGCTGATTGACCTTATTTAAGACAATTAAGGTCACTATAAGTTTCGACTATTAAATTTAGGTGGTTTGTTAAAAGAATTAAATGGATAATTATAATATAGTGAAGTACCTCCACCTAAGTTGATACAAACTTTGAGGAATGAATCAAACCAATCTCGAAAATAAAATAGAACCTTGACTACGGCCAACCAAGTAAGTGATCCTACTATCGACTCAGTCAGAAGATTTGTCTTATGTATAATAACACGTGTTCAGTGGCCCTTCCACATATTATGTATGTTCATGTGATATTATGATGATGTTATGGTGTTGTAATTTGATATGGTACTATGATGCATTAGAATGATACTACGATGTTATGATGTTATGATGATATGATGTACTATGATGCATTAGAATGATACTACAATGTTATGATGTTATGATGATATGATGTACTATGATGCATTAGAATGATACTACGATGTTATGATGATATGATGTACTATGATGCATTAGAATGATACTACGATGTTATGATGTTATGATGATATGATGTACTATGATGCTATGATATGTTGGGATGATGATGCATTATAATATGATGACAAGTAGGGGTGTACATGGTCCGAGTTGGGTTGAGTTTGAGGATTTTTTTTACCCAACCCAAAAGTTCAGGTTGGTTGAATTAGTAACCCAACCCAACCCTCTATTTTCGGGTTCGGTTGTCAATTTTTTTTTTTTAAATTATACCAATACAATATTAGATAAAATATATTAAAAGTTTACACACAAACACAAATCAATCTATAATTATTCACAAAAAAAAAAAAAAAAAAAAAAAAAAAAAAAAAAAAAAAAAAAAAAAAAAAAAAAAAAAAAAAAAAAAAAAAAAAAAAAAAAAA